GAGCTGAGATTGAAAGGCTGGCTTCAGGTCCCAAACTCTAAACCACTCTACAGCTACATGGAATTTATCAGCATATTGATTGCAGGAATTCTCTGAAACATATTCCCCACTCAATAAGAAGCCACAGACAGCTTCACCCACATTTTATATCAGGAAAAGCTGTGGGGCTCCCTTCTAGCAAAAGTGGGGGGTTTATATTTCTGTGAACTTATCTAACCCTGGCTGTGGTATTGCCCTACTTTTATTTTTCTTTTGCCCAGTCCCCTTGATTATTTATTTTATCTTTCTATACTGTTCCATTTTTCTTAACTGGCTATAGCTGTTTTGTGGAATGTGGTAGGAAATAAATATATAAATAAAATTAATTCTTCAAAGTTTTTATGAGATGAATCTATCCATGGCCAGGAAAATATCATTTGAATTACCAAATCTTGCTGTGTAGTCCCAGTTATGTAGCTAGTGACTCACTTTCCACATCCTCATTTCTATTACAAAGTCATGTCTGTGTGAACTAGAAAAAGAAATGAAAATACCACCTAGGTCTTTCAGTTTCCTTCTTAAAATGTCAGAGTCTCTGGAGACACATTCCAAAGCTTTACAGGCCATGTCTGCCCTAATTGGCCACAGAAGTTACAGGATTCAAGCCATGATGTGTTCAGCAGGAGTCTAAGTACACAGGCGATGAGCCAGTTGGGCTATAACTGGGTGGGGAAATGGAAAGTCCTTGGTCAAACAGGCAAAAAATCAAGACCAAGAATCCAAGCTGAGAGTGGGGTGATGGCAGGTCAAGAGCCATTAGAGAATAGAATGAGGTTAGAATGTAGCATCTGGACGGGTTGGGGGATGGACAGGTGCTAGAACAGCAGACTAGCACGGGTCAGTGGGCTTCCTGTGACTCAGCTTTGTTTCCCTTGCTTCGTTTTTCACCTGTGCCCCTACCATCCTCCACCCCAGCCACACTAATAAATGACTGAATGTTCTCCAAATATGCTAAACTGTTTCACACCTCCACACCTTTTTCATGCTGTTCCCTTCCTCTTGCCTCTGTCCACCTGACAAATATCTAGTCACTTTTTTCCAGATCCTGCTTAAATAATTTCACTATGAGGCCGGGCGCGGTGGCTCAAGCCTGTAATCCCAGCACTTTGGGAGGCCGAGGTGGGTGGATCACGAGGTCAAGAGATCGAGACCATCCTGGTCAACATGGTGAAACCCCATCTCTACTAAAAATACGAAAAATTAGCTGGGCATGGTGGTGCGTGCCTGTAATCCCAGCGACTCAGGAGGCTGGGGCAGGAGAATTGCCTGAACCTGGGAGGCGGAGGTTGCGGTGAGCCGAGATCGCACCATTGCACTCCAGCCTGGGTAACAAGAGCGAAACTCCGTCTCAAAAAAAAAATAATAATAATAATTTCACTATGAAACCTTTTTTGCCTCCACCACAGCCTGTCTCCATTCATCTTTCTTGCCTTTCCACACCCACGTACTTGTTTCCACATGTATCTAGACCTTTTGCACTATAGCTCTCTGATGTGAGAAATGTCACATTACTATATTTTTCTAAATCAAATTTAGAAAACGTTGGTTCCCAAGGGCCAGGATGTTAACACTCTCAATATCTTTATGGATGCCTCTCCCCGTAGGATCATACCCAGAATCCAAGGAGCCTAACAGTACAGAAAATGTGGGAAGTGGCCTTCTAGTCTTCAACACACCTCCCAGGACAATACTGAATAGAAGTGGCAAGAGCAGACATCTCTGTCTTGTTTCTGATGTTAGGGTCAGAGTATCCACTCTTTCACCACTACATAAGAGGTTAGCTGTGGATTTTTTATAGAGGTTTTTATCAGGTCGAGGAAGTTCCAGACTACTCCTAGTTTACTGAGCATTTTTATTATGTAGGGGTGTTGGATTTTGCCAGATGTTTTTTCTGCATCTATTGAGATGATTATGTAGTTTTTGTTCTTTATTCCCTTAACATAGTATATTACATTTGTTGATTTGGGGGTATTAAACCAGTCTTATAGTCCCAGGATAAATCCCACTTTGCTGTAGTATATAATTCATTTTATCTGTTGTTGAATTTGATTTGCTAATGTCTTGTTAGGATTTTTGTATCTATATTAATAAGAGATATTGATCTATAGTTTCCTTTTCTCCTGATGTCATTGTTCTTTGTACCCACACCTAGTGCTTGGAACATAATAGGGGACTCAGTAAATACTTTTTTTTTTTTTTTGTCACCCAAGCTGGAGTGCAGTGATACCATCTCGGCTCACTGCAACCTCTGCCTCCCGGGCTCAAGTGATTCTCTTGCCCCAGCCTCTCGAGTAGCTGATATTACAGGCACACACCACCATGCCTGTTTTTGTATTTTTAGTAGAGACAGGGTTTCGCCATGTTGGCCAGGCTGGTCTCGAAGTCCTGACCTCAGTTGATCTGCCTGCCTCGGCCGCTGAAAGTGCTGGGATTAACGGTGTGAGCCATTGTGCCCGGCCTCAATAAATTCTTAATTGACAAATTCACAAGCAAATGCATGAAGCAAGGTAACAATAGAAGATTTAAAATAATAGTAATATTCCAAATCCTGAGCCCCATCAGAAGTTACTTACGCCAACTGAAATGGAGTCCCCTGAAACTTCCTGGTTACTATCCCTTCCAGGCTTACATAGGCCATGTCCTCAGAGCAGGGCAGGTCCCCCACCCACATACACATACACCATGATTTCTATATCATTTATTTCCAATGTGATGGATTGTAAGCATCAAGCTGACTTTCCTGCATATTTTGATTTGTTCTTCAGAAAGACAGCACATCTCTAGATATAAGCAAAGCACCAAGAAAGCACGAACTTCTGAAGGCATCCATTAAGCTCTTAGCACAGTACCTGGTGCCTGATAAGCATTCCATTAAAGTTTGTAATTATGATTATGACTAATTTTCCCATGCCCAAATCATCTGTCCCACCCCCAAAACCTTCTAGTGAGTATGCATGTATGCATCACACCTCCAGAATTATCAGTCAGGTCCTACCCCACAAAGAGGTCAGCAACCACAGGAATGGTACATACCTGTTTTTCTTGGAGATGTTAACAGGTTTCCCACCACTTGCTGTGCCTACTTGACCTCCTCAGAGCTCCACATTGCACAGAATGATGACACTGCTTTAAAGTACAGAGCCTACCCTACACCCACCCCAGCACGTGCCCCCTGGGGTCTAACTCTAATGCTACAGCAAGTGTTTTCTGTCTCACTGTGTCACTTTCTATTTGTCTTCCACAAGACACTGATATTCCTCTTTCCTCTAAAAATATGTTTCCCCTTTTTGCCTTTCCTCTTTTATTATTTGTCTCTACTTTTCATTTAAGAGTAGCCAGAACACGTGTGTTTTCTTCCATCTTATATAGCAGGGAGGTTGTTATGATTTGTACCAGATGTAACTGAAGGTCTGTGTCCCAGTAAGAGGACACAGTTTGAGCTGATTGTAATAGTTCTAACTCCACATTTCCTGGAGTTTCGTGGGTTTTGTTGAAAAGCTACCACAAAAAATTGCCTCATTTTCATGGCTCATTTAAAAGGGTACACCTACAAAATCTTCTCAGAAATCTGCTTGTCTCTTCTTACCCATGCCCTAACCTCTGCCATCTCCATGGCACATGGCAAAGTACCACCCTCTGTTCCATAATACCCATCATCCACGGAGGAAATGCCCCCAGATTCCTGACTCTTCTTGTCCTATGATTGGCTGTGATCAGCACCCACCCACCTCCTTGTTGTAGCATGGCTTTCCTCCCTCTGCTCTCTTTCTCCTCTCACTTTGCAGACCGCTTCCACCACCTTCTCTCTATCTGTCTATCTATCTATCAATCATTTATCTATCTTTAGGTATTTAATTTTTTCTAGTCTTGGTATGTTGCACAGACTGGTCTTGACTCCTGGCTCAAGTAGTCTTCCTGCCTTGGCCTCCCAAAGTGCTGGGATTACAGATGTGAGCCACCACATCTGGCCTTACTACCTTGTACCCTCTCTGGGCATTCCAGGGATATTCACCAGTCAGCCCATTCTAATTCCAGTCGTCAGCAACACAACCAGACTTTATTACCCTCAAAAGAAAAACTGAATTTCTACAACAGACAATACCCCATACAAGTCTTGGTTTCAAGACACTGCTTTTTTTTTTTTTTTTTTTTTTTTTTTTTTTTTTTTTTTATTTTTTTTTTTAGGATCTCAGCCTGTCATCCAGGCTGGAATGTAGTGGTACAATCATGGCTCCCTGCAGCCCTGATCTTCTAGGCTCAAGGGATCCTCCTACCTCAGCCTCCTGAGCAGCTAGGACCACAGGCTTCAAGACTCTGTTTTTAAGAATTACGATCCTTTTTTTTTTTAGATGGAGTCGCACTCTGTCATCAGGTTGGAGTGCAGTGGCATGATCTCAGCTCACTGTAACCTCCACCTCCTGGGTTCAAGTGATTCTCCTGCCTCAGCCTCCTGAGTAGCAGGGGCTACAGGCGCACACCACCATGCCCAGCTAATTTTTGTATTTTTAGTAAGGACAGGGTTTCTTCATGTTGACCAGGATGGTCTTAATCTCTTGACCTCATAATCTGCCTGCTCCAGCCTCCCAAAGTACTGGGATTATAGGCATGAGCCACCACACCTGGCCACGAATTATAATTCTTAAAAGTTCACATGTACCACTGAATGTGGTAGCTCCCTCTGGGATGAACACCTACTTCCAGTTACAGGGCATTTCATAACTTTTCTGTCTATTATTAACCCTTTTATGTACTTTCTCTGGCATATCCCAGACCAGGGAGGAAGAGGAGTACCTTGTGGTATTGACGGTTCAAGCAGGAAGTCCCTCCCTACCAGGGCCAAAGTTACATGGCTCTGCCCTCATCAGCACCCCTGAAAGTCAGGGAAACATCAAATGGGACTGATCCTCAAAACATGCCATAGACTAAAAATAAACCAGTATTTCTGTATGTCCTTGTTTCAGAAAAGAGAATGGCTGCTGTTAGCCAAGGGGGAACCACTGGGCCCAGGACACAGCCAGAGAATCCCTGCCAGCACCTTCTATGTGATCATGCCATCACGCTCCCTCACACTGCTGGTGAAGGCGGTGGCCACGCGGGAACTGATGCTGCCCAGCACCTTCCCCCTGGTATCTGAGGACCCATGCGATGACAGCCTTAAGATTGTGGAGGCAAGTGGAGCCCAGCTCTCACAAGACAGATCTAGAAGCGAATGGAGTTTGAGAAAGGAAGGAGGGAGAGGAGTGAGCCCATGAGGGAATGGACGGGGAGCTGAGGTGTGAAAAGAGAGCAAGAACAGAAAGCAAGGGTAGGCAATGTTGCCAGCAGAAGGGAGGAAACACTTAAGATTATGGCAGCAGGGTAGGGAGTGAAATAGAACAGAGGCTGGGTAGAGGGAAATGAGGCTTGAGAAAAAAAAACTGGGAGAGAAAAGGGACATTGGCATCAGTGATGACTGGGAATTAGAGCCATCCTAGAGGACACACAGCATGCACATGGACCTGAAATCTGAGGACAGGGTGTCTATGAAGGAGAAAAGGGAGCAGCAGAGAGTAGAAACCTGATGGTAGGCCAGGGCACAGGGAGGCAGGAGAGGAAGCCACAGCACCGGCAGCTCCAGCTCCTGGGGAGGCGCCAGACACATGTTCGGTTCAGTTTTTGCACCAACTGGTTTTCCTGCCCCCACTTCCTCCCCAGAGAGGAGATTGTGAAGTTAGACAAGGGAAAGCAGAACATTGGGAAGGAAAGGAAAGGAGAAGATACCGTGGAAGGCAGAAGAAAAAGCAAGGGAGAAAGGGAGTAAAAAGAGACCCAAAAAATCAACTTCTGTATGGGTTTTTGTGTCTTTGCGTGTTTATTTTTGTGCCCAAGTGAGTCTGTGCTTGAATCTCTAAATTGATGGCAGTACATGTAGATGCGCCTGTGCACATCTGTGTGCTGGTGTGTTCTTAGGGGTCTAACTTTCTGCATTGCACGTGTGCATGTGTGTATACCTCTGTTTGCACTCATTTATGTTTGGTGAGAAAACGAGGAAAAGGTAGCCAATGTAGGTGCCCGAAATAGGAAGGGCTTCAAAATGAGACGGATGCAGAAGCAGAGGAGCAAACCACTGTGAAGACCATTTTCTCTTCCTCCTCCTCTTCCTCCTCCTCTCCCTCTTCCTGGGATCTGGATTCTCTATATTTGCTCTGCTAGTCTCCTCAGGCTGAGGGTAGGAGGGGTGGCTCTGGGCAGGGAGAACTGGAACCACACTGCTGCTGGGTTGCTGGCTTAAATGCAGCAAGGACAAGGCCTGGGATTGTGCTCTTGGCTTGGCGGCCACAGAGACACAGAGAGAGGTGGGCACGAGTGGCCGTGGCCCGCTTAGCGTCTCACTTTGGGGCCAGTGGTTCCTGGCACAGGATGTTGTGGCCGGAAAACCTGACTGCACAGGAATGTTGTGCTCCTGTATCCCCTCCTCCCTTTCCATTCAGCTCAGCTCACCTCCAGGCTGAGAACTCCCTGTACTCGCCTTGCAGGCTGTGAGCACCCCACCCCGCTGGGTAGCCCGCTGACACACCCTCCCTCCGTGCTCACAGTGGATCCCTTGTAGCATTCATGTGCGCTGGCCCCCTCAGAACCCCTGGACATGCGTCTTGGGGCCAGAGTGTTCAGTGTTTCTAACCACTTAGGGTTGTTCCTACTTCTCCTACCCATGCCTGACCCTTAGATCACAAGCACTGGACCTCAGGCCAGAACACCCAGGGGGACAGCATCTATTTCACAGCCTTCAAGGCAGCCCTTGCGTTTCACACTTTCTCCACCCCCTCACACTCCTGGATCGCTGCCTGACATCTTGTGTTCTGTGACCTCAATGGGTGAGGCCCCTCCTCTCTTTTCCTCAGAGCATGCTAGACAGCCTGGAGCTGGAGCCCACCTACAACCCCTTGCAAGTTCAGAGCCACCTGTACTCACACCTGAGCAGCAACTATGCCAAGCCTCAGGGGCGGCTCCACCCACACTGGGAGAGCAGAGCCCCGAGAAAGGTACTGCTCCCCTCCCTCTCTCCCCTTCATGCCCAGAGTCCTCGAAAGCCCTTCTCTTCCATCCCAACACCACCCCCATCCAAGGGAGTAGCCCTCCTTCTGGATCCCACCCCTGGTGGAGGGGAAAATAAGAACCCTTACTGGGTAGGGAGGCCTGTCTGCCAGGGGATTTACATATGATAACATTTATGTGTTTTAATTGTAGTGTTTACGATAACTCATTAGTCATTTAACAGACCATTGTCCCATTAAGCAAAGTAGCTACACAGAAACTACAACCACAGCCCTCTCGAAAGAAAAGGCTGAAGGAAAGGTGGGAAAAGAAACGCCCAAGGGAAGGGAAATTAATACTTATAGAGCACCAGTCACTTGCCAGGTTTTATGATAAGTGCTTGCTCATATATTTTTCTCATTTAATCCTCACAGCATCCCTGCAAGGTAAGTGTTTGCTCATTTACAGCTGAGGAAAGGAGGCTGACCAAGGTTAGTAACTTGAAGACAGGACTCCCATGACTGGAGTTGAAGACAGTTGGGGTTGAAGAAGGAAGAGTAATTGAGGATGGAGAAATATTTTTATGAGACCTGTGTTCTATATAATATTTAGGCTTCGTTTTGTCCTTATTAACTTTTTCTCAGTTCCTTAGTAACACAGCCTTTAGGAAAATTCTCATTTGGGGCCAAGCACAGTGGCTCGTGCCTATAATACCAGCACTTTGGAAGGTCGAGGCAGGTGGATCGCTTAAGCTCAGAAGTTTGAGACCAGCCTGGGCAACATGGTAAAACCTCATCTCTACAAAAAATTAGCCAGGAATGGTGGTGCTCACTGTAGTCCCAGCCACTTGGGAGGCTAAGGTCGGGGAATTGCTTGAGCCCAGGAAGACAAGGCTGCAGTGAGCCAAGATTGTGCCACTGCACTCCAGCCTGGGTGACAGAGCAAGATCTTGTCTCAAAAAAAAAAAAGAAAAAAAAAAAAAGTTCTTGGCCAGGCTCGGTGGCTCACGCCTGTAATCCCAACACTTTGGGAGGCCGAGGCAGGCAGATCATGAGTCAAGAAATTGAGACCATCCTGGCCAACATGGTGAAACCCCATCTCGACTAAAAAATACAAAAAATTAGCTGGGTGTGGTGATGTGCACCTGTAGTCCCAGCTACTTGGAAGGCTGAGGCAGGAGAATTGCTTGAACCTGGGAGATGGAGGTTGCAGTGAGCCAAGATTGCGCCACTGCACTCTAGCCTGACGCCTGGCAACAGAGTGAGCCTCTGTCTCAAAAAAAAAAAAAATTCTCATTTTGTCTTAGCTAAAATTACAGAAGGACATTTCCAAACTAGAGGTAGGAGCAGGGGCTTCAACAAGTTAGGTGCTGGGCAAGCTGTCAGAGGTAGGACACTGGCCAAGGAGACAGGCACTGTGGAGGCTAGGCTCAAGGGACTCTAAATTATTGTCCTGGGCCTTGAGGCTGTTACTCCAGGGTCCTGACTTACAAAAGAGTTAGGACAGAAAGCCCCACAGAGAATGGGATAAGCGCGCAGAAACTCTGATCTTCAGAGAAGGCTCTGGTTTCTCTCTTTGCAGACTGGACAGTTGCAGACCAACCGAGCTCGAGCCACTGTGGCCCCCCTGCCTGTGACTCCTGTCCCAGGCGGAGCCTCCAAGATGCCAGCATCCAGCAAATCTTCCTCAGACACCTTCTTTCTGCTTTCGGAGTGGGAGGAGGATCCCTCAGGGCCCTAAGTCACCAGCACCAGAGCCTAACCACATCCATGCTCAAGTTCACATAATGGCTACCTGTGGTCAGACCTACTTTCTATCCACCTGAGCCTCTGTGAGTGAGGGCTGACTGGGAAACAAGAGCCTTCCCCGCCTCTGTTTCATGCTGTCCCACTCCTCAAGTGGAGAAGCAACACACTCGAGCCTTCGGCAAGGACTCTCATTTTCTTTTGAATCATTTGATACTGTTTACAGAGGTGAAGATTAAACACCCAGTAAGCTTCCACCATTGTTAGGAGCATTCCCAACCCAGAATTTCTTCTTGTAGCTCTGTGTAAGCAGGTGGATGAGGTCACGTCACCTTTGGTAAACTGGGCCTCAGGAACAAGGAGGAGGTTTTCAAAGCTCAAAAAGACAAGTAGGATTGAAATCCAAGCCTTATTTCAGAGCCTGTGGCCTTCCCGCTACTCCACCGGCCTTCAGCCTCCAAACAGACAAGTGCTTGGTACCTACATGGAAATTGTGTATGTTGTGGGGTGGGAGTGCTGCCATATAGCCCAGAACAGGGGAGAGGACGGTGTAGAAAAGACCTACTCCTTTCCTGTTACCCTCTCCCCACACGCACCCACCTTCCTGTTGCTCCCTCCATCCACGGAATAGCTACCGTTTATAAAATATTTCCACTAGGTTGGGAGCAGTGGCTCACATCTACAATCACAACACTTTGAGAGGCTGAGGCAGGATGATCACTTGAGGCTGTGAGTTCGAGACCAGCCTGGGCAAAATAGTAAAACCCCCATCTCTACATAAATAGTAAATAAAAACTAAAACAAACAAAAAACCTGTGCTTCAGATTACACTAAATACTTGTAATGTATCTAATTTCATACAAACAGCCCTGAGAGGTAGAGCTCATTATAGTTTTCCCATTTTACAGAGAGGCACAGGGGAAACTGAGGGTTGCAGATGTTACACAACTCACCCGTGCCACAGAGCTCTCATCTAGCCTAGGGCAGCCTGACTTGACTTCCCAGGCTCCGAACCACCACACTCCTGTTCCCTTCCTGGGCCCCTTTCCTCTCCATGACTCTCAACACATTCCTGGCTCTCCTCTTGAGCCCCACCACACCCAACCCAACCACTGTGTCCCATCTTTCTGTTCACACACATAAAACTCTTAAACCCAAACTGACTTTAATGAGAATTTAAAATTTTTGAAATAGATATCTGGCAAAGAACAATGCAGGGGTAAGGATCCAGACACATTCCAGCATCTCTGAGACCTCCACACAGGCCCTCAAACTGCACCCACTGTGACTGTGCCCCACTGTCCACAGACCTGCTCCCACAGCTGTCCCTTCCTTTGGGGAAGTGGGGAAGGAAGAGATGGCTTTAGGGGGATGTAGAGCCCATCCCTCAGCCCTGTCATCTGTCCCACTTCTTAGGACTTCCTGGGATAGTCCTTCCCTTGACTCCCCCATCCCTCTGGTCCCCTGCTCTCACACAGCACGGCTCCTCCCACCCTCTGGCTTCTGCTGGTTCTAACCATTTTCTTTGACCCCAGTGCCACCTCCCCATGGCTCTCCTCAGCGACCTCAGCCTTGCCCTCCTTCTCAGGTAGAGCCCTCTGACTTGACCCCAGTCCTGTCAGTCCCTACTCTAGAGAGCCCACAGTCCCAGCTCCCTGAGGCTCCGCTCTTCTGGACCTGGCTATACAGGGCTGAACTGTGGCTTTTGCTTCCACTGCCAGTTGCAGTACCAGGTTCAGGTAGGGCTAGGCCCTGGGGCTTGGGAGCAGGGAGGGGCTTTGTGCTCCGGGAGGGTGGCACAGCATAGTCATCAGTGGCAGGGTTGTAGGGGAGCTCATAGCCTTCCTCCTTCACCCGAGCCTGGCACCACCAGGCATCCTTGAGCTCCCGAGGCAGATCATAAAGGCCCTGGGGAGGGGCTGGGGCCAGGCCCTCAGGTTCATCATAGATGGGATCCTCTTTGGGGTCCGTCAGCTTGGCCTTCATCAACTGCTGCTGCGCATGCTCATACAAGTCCCAGTAGAGCGCTTTCTTCCGTTGTACTCCCTCTCCTGTCCGAGCAGGGGTGCTGTCCAAGGGGTCTGAGTATAGGGAGTCCTGGGAAGGGTGTGGAGTAATTCGCAGGGAGTCTAAGGGCTCAGCATACAGGGCTGGGGCACTGTCGAGGAGCTCTTGGGGGCCAGGTGGGGAAGGCAACTTCCCCTCTGCCACCTCCCCTTCATGGGAGTCAGCTCTGAGAACATCGTGCCCCTGTCCCGCCTTTCCCTGGGCCTTCTGCCGGTGGATGGCAGTCTCGACTGCTTGGAAGATGTCATTTCCCTGTGCCGTCTGGAAGGTGAAGGTTCCAGGGCCCGAGGGGCAGCGGCGGCCGGCCTCAAAAGAGAACATGACCTGAGGAGGGTGGAAAGGGAGCCATCAGAGGAAGTGAGTCACAGGCCTGCATTAATCAGGGTATCTACAAAGAAGAGACCACCTGGGAACAGACATGGGGTCTCCCGGGTAGGCAAGAAAGGGGAATTCGAAGGTCAGAACTACCCACCTCTGCCCTGCCCCACCCACAGCTGCCCAACCCAGGAAGCCCTCCGGGACAGCCCCTGCACCTTGTCCCGGCCATAGCGACGCAACAGAGTGTAGGGCCAGGACAGGAGTGGCTCCAGTATATGACTCTGGGTTCCCACAGTCAGGAGAGTCAGCCTCTCAGCCTCCACCCTCAGCATGTAGGAGCCATGCAGGCCACAGCGCTCGGCGGCCTCAGTCCTCTGCACCGTTACCCAGAATTGGGATCCTGGAAGGCATATACAATTAGCTGCGGCAGGAGGGACGTGGGCAGCAGTGGGGACCCCGAGGCCTCAGGAGCATAGTGTCCAAGCACTCACTTGGAAGCCAGATCTCAGGGCCTTCCTACTTCCCCATGGGTCCCTGGGTATCCACCCACTTCCCAAAGGCACGCCTCCTCCTCACTCCATCCCTGCCTGGCTTTCTCAGGCATCTACCTTCCCAGGTGGGGCTGTACAAGGAGTTCTCCAGCATCTCCAGGGCAGAAAGCTTAGGTGGGTTATCGGTAGTCCAGCTGCCTTTCTGTAGTACAGAGAGGGCATCAAGAAACCTGTAATTTCCTCAACGCGGCTGGGGAGGTGGGAGCGGTCTGAGCCAGCCCCATTTCTCTGCCTCTGTATCTTCCCCCACCCCGCATCACCACAGCCCCTCACCGGAAAGGCGTTTCTGCACAGCATCTGCACCCAGGCTGCACTGGACGGCGCGTCGGCCGCCAGCAGGTGCGAGCGCTGAGCAGTGTCCAGGCGGAAGGCAGTGGCGCCGGGCTCAGGGGGGGTCTCCACGGTGACGGGGGCCACACTCACACACTCAGCCAGACGGATCACCTTGCAGTCCAGGCGGCGCGAGCTCCCTCGGCCACCTCCAGAGCTCGACCCCTTATGGTCAAAGAACTCGAGCCGCGCTACGCCGTGGGGACTGGCCGGGTAGAGCACGGCCCAGGTCTTCCTCCACCTCTAGGGAGAGAGCGAGAGGGCTGGAGAGGGAGTGGCGTGCGCGGGCGGCCCCGGTCCCGACGGGGAAGGAGGGAGCGGCGCAGGCCGATTTGGGATCTGGGGCTTCCAAACGGGGGGCGAAGTTTCCCAAGAAGGATGCCACTCCCTCTCTCCAGGACCAGAACCCCGAGACTACAGACGCTTCTCGGGAGCGTGCAAAGCAACTTCGAGGGAAAAGTCACAGGCTCTCCAACTCCCGGCGCCGCGCTCCAGCCCGCTGCCCGCCTCTCCCTGTTTCTGGGCTCTCTCACCCACTACTAGCCCCGATGGGGTTCGGCATCCGCTGCCCCCGACTACCTTGGTCCCAAAGCGCTGACTCTGCAAAAAGAGCGGCCCTTCCATCTCGGCTCCGTCCATGGCCCCTGGCAGTTCCTTCCGCGCTTCCTGGCCTTGCGGCGGGAGGCGGGGCGGGAGGCGGGGCCGGGTTCCCTGGAGGCGTTTCCGTCCCTCCCAGCACGCCGGCAGCCGCTGAGGGGTCACGGTGGGGTGAGGGAGAGCAACTAGAAGGAAGGGTGGCGGTCCCCGGATTGGCCGGGCAGTGCAGCACCCCAAGCCCCTACCCGCCGTCGTGGGGGCGCGCCGGTGGTTCCACGGAGAGAAAGTCCTCGGTTTCGGCGGGAAGGCCCCGGCCTCTGGGCGGGGTGGCTGCGCATGACGTCATATGCCCAACATGACATCAGGGTGAAAGCCGTGACATCACCCCAAAAGCGCCCGCAGGCACCTGGGGACACCGGAGAGACCCACGAGGGCCTCCGGGGCTTCAGTTCCCCCTGCCGGGCCCGCCCCCAGCCCCGCCCGAGCGGGGCTGTTTACACTTCGCCGGCCGGGACTCGGAGCGGGGGGCCGGCGGCTGGGGCTGGACAGCTTCCCGCCACCACGGGGGCTGTCCCGCCGCTCGGCAGCCGCTTGCAAGTCGACTCCCTGACCGCAGCGGCCTGGCCTCCATGCCAGGGAAGAGAAAGCTTCTTTGAGCGGGCCGGGAGGGCCGGGGAGGGGGAGGGGGCGCGGCAGTGGCCAGCTCCACGGGGAGGGAGGACCCAGAGGAGGCGAGGAGGGAGCTGGCCGGGAAGAATGGAGGGAGAAGGCGGAATGTGGGAGGGCTGAGGGAGATGTGGGAGGGACGACTGGAGAGCGGGGAGAAAGCGGGGTCCAGCCTACCCTGGCCGAGCGTTTTTTTTGGGGGAAGTCCTAGGACTGATCTCCAGGACCAGCTCTCTTCTCCCAGCCCTTAGGGTCCTGCGCAGCCAAGGTAGGGGGAGTCACGCTACCCGCGGAGGGAGCGGAATAGGGGATGGAGAGGATGTGGAGGGACCAGAGAAAACGAGTGGTGTGGGCTAGAATCGAGGGGAAGCCACCCAACTGAGAGTCTGATTCTTGTCAAAGGGCAGTGAGACAGTACAGAGAGGAGGCACTTACTGGAGGCGAGGGCTCTGGGTGTTTTGAACGGGCAGCCAGGAGCGCCCTAAGGCAGGGGCTCCTCCGGGAGGCCTACTGCTGGGTCCCCAAGCCAAAATGTCCCCAGAACAAAGCTGCCTTGTTGGATTGATTGTTTGGGTTGGGGGAAGCATATTGGCAGGGGCTTGCTGTAGAGGGGTTGTTCTCAGCCCTAGACAGAGAAGGCCTTGGCTGAGGAGTCGTAGTGCCTGGCCCCCGGTTGCCCAGTGACAGCGATGGTGGTGTTGGCAGAAGGCTTGGACAAGCCTACCCCATCCCCCGCCCAGCCTTGAGGCCTGGCCCTCCTGGGCCTCTTGACCCTGCAGGGCATCTGAGACCCTGTGTCCTGGGGAGGGTTGCAGCAGGTTCTCCAGGCGAGCTTCGGTGCCAGCCTTCCCTGCCTAGGAATCTGCTGGGGTAGGACTCTGGGCTCCCATTCAGGGGATCTGTGATCCCAGGGCCGCCTAGGGCCCCCTACGTGCCTCTCTGCACAATCAGTACAGCTGTCTGTCCTCTGTCTGGGTAAATGGGGTCATCTGGATCCCTCCCACGTCCGCCCCTTGGCTCTTGTCAGTCCCTCTCCTCCTCACCCGCAGTGTGCTTGGTTCCCCTATGCTGAGTGCTTGGTTCTTTCCCTATCACCTTCTTCCCATTGTCTCTCTCCTCTGCATCTTTCTGTTTTTCTCTCTCTCATTCCCACAGTCTCCATTCCTCTCACATCCTGTCTGTCTGGGTCTTCCTCTCTGCGTGTCTCTTGGTCAGTCTCTATCGCTTTTCCTTGACCCTTCTCTGACACTCTGTCTCTCATAGCTGTCTCTTATTTCTGGGTCTCTCAGGCTGTGCCTCTTTGACCTGTGCCTCTGCCCTTAAAAATGTGTTTCTCTCCCTGTCTCTCTTGGTCCCTGGGGCTCTTTCTCTCCTGCTGTCCCTCACTGTCTCTG